TATGCATTCGGTGGTTTCTTATGGCCAAAAATTCGCGCAATGTTTGTATTTAAGTTCCTCCTATCTCGTCGAGACGAAGATTTCAATCTCCATATCTCTGAATAGGAGTAACTTAAATAGGGGCATCTGTTGCACCCTAATTTTTGACCCTAAAATTCCACCTCCTTGTGCGTTTCTTACATTTTTATCCTTATACTTTTGTGCGCGCGTTTATCATGACTAACGAGTGTATGCAAGATCTTCTTTTTCTTAAAAATGTCTCAGGTTGATTCTCGTGTCTACATCCCCTAAAATCAAGCTTTCTAGTACAAAATAGTGAGGATTCAATATTTGAGGATCATCCATATGTGCTTCAAATCCAACATTTGTGACATATCAAGTGGTGTTATTTATATAACGAGTTCAAGATCTTTTTAAACCTTCAAAGTGCGGAAAAACCAATTTGAGTGCATTTTGTTATCAGAGGTGGTGAAGACCGGCTATAACAAATTCATGTCAATACCGGTAACATTTGGAATTCGGATTGGACTGAAGCATATTATCCAAAGCGTTCTGAGACTCGAAGCTTGTTAGGATTTCTTACCAAAGCATTGGTTTTCAAGTAGAGTCTACGGTTATGAAGAACATTTCAAACACATATTTATTTATATTGAAAACCAGTCACTTTTCCTCATCATTATAATAACCTTTTGGTGTCCTACAACATAACTCATATAATACCTATACATTGCCTACTCAATTACACAACTGGCAATAGCAGACCAACTTGGACCAACTTTACAAGAACGCTGTGGTTAAAAATAATTCACTACATTGTTGCTTTTGGCTTCAGTTTCAAGAATACTATACGTTTCACTTCAGCCAATGATTACCAATTGGATTCAGTTTCATAATCATTACAAGGTTACAATTACAATTTTCAAAGTTTTATCTAGCAAACAAGTGGACAATGACAAAACAGGAAAAATCAGGATCATGAAAGTCTGCTACAAAGCACATTCGATTCCAAAGCGCGCCGTCAGCCCGGAGCTCCATTCGCCAGTCTACGCAACACCGACATCACAACCTATCAAAGCGACGCAAATTAATAATTAGAACAGACCTAGCAGATAAATTGCAATTGTAAGTTAAGAGCCAAGCAGCCGTTGTTTGGTTATTACCCTGCAGGAAGTCATGACAACCGGACTGACCGTCAAAATCAGCAGCCTGAGATCCCTCAAGAGCAGCCTTCATCGGAGTTGGAGCTGAAACAACAAAGACCTGCAATGGAACAGATGCGAAGTAATATCTCACAAGATATTTTTGGACTGCTACAACACATTTGATTAGGAGAAAAAACTATATCACCATAGATGGTCCACAACCAGAATCTGAACAAAGTGGATTGCTCCTCAGTAAAGAGCTTCTGAAAATTACAGGGATATGTGCTCTGTTCCAGAGGCATGCGGTACGTCACCCCTGCATTCAGAAAAGCAATTAGTTTCTCACCATAGCAGTGGTCCAATTAATAATAACTGCAAGAAAAGAGAATCAAAACCAAGTCAAAAAGAAGGTACTAAGGCTTGACCTCAATCACAACGGTATCTTCCCGACACAATTAGAGCCACCAGATTTTGTTTTCGGCTACACGATAACCACGGACGGTAATAAAACTCATGAATCCCAGCTGTAGCGGTAAAAATTGTGAGTGTAAGTTATTGACTAACTTAACTCAAAGAAAACAAGAGTCGCCACCGCACTTTTATTTTATCCAAATGAAGGAAAGGAAAAAGAGCGAACAAAACCAAAGAGTTCTAAAATAAGAACACGAGACAGAGATCGGGGTAAGGGGGTTGGTTACGCAATGGGAAGGTGTTAGCACCCAAAACGTCTATAGTACTCTATAGGAGCCCTTTGAAATATTTACGCTTTTTGGTTTGAAAGTGGTTTGTTTGAAAAGAGATTGGGGAGATGAGAAGAGAATATTTTTTTTAGATTTTTGTGTTTGGAGAGACTTATCGTCTCATGCCTACGTACCCATAAAGTGCAATATTGAATCAAAACCCCGTAGTTCGTGGTACAAATGACAAAATTTTGTTGGTTTTGATTGATTTTAGATGTTCAGACAAGTCGTCATTTCAAGGAGAAAACTGCGACTATCCACCCACGAGTATTAAGACAACATTTGCGTCACATAAAGATGGAGGATTTGCTTGGATTATCAACAAGACTATCACTCAACATCAACGTGGAAAATGTCAAAGTCTTAATAATATGGGGAATAGGAGATTTACATCTCAACTATAGAAATGAATCATGTCTAAACTTTATGAAAAGTTTTAAAGTGAAAAAGTGCATAAAGGCACAAAAAGAGTTGATGAGTTTTTGTATTTTTTATGTCTTTTGAAATTGGTCAAAACATGATTAACATTGATTGACTTTTATTAAGAAAAAAAACAAAGTTTAAAAATCACTTGACGAAAGTCAAGGTTTTATTGCGAAAGCGGTTTTGAAGTTTGAAACCAAGAAGGTTTTGAAAAAGGGAGAAAGTTTTGAAAATTTAAGAAGGGGAGGAGATGAAGTGACTATCCTAAAAAACAAAATAAGAGCTAGAGGTAAGAAAGATCTAACCGACTTGTAGCACACTCCAAAGCAAGCAAAAAGAATTCCATCCGATTTAAAGCATAAGCTAATGAGCGAGGCAAATAAAGGCTAAGATCCACAATACTCCAAGCATAGGAATGAAAGTCCTAATTCTAAGTCCAAAATGTCCATGAAGTCCAAAGTCTAAGAATGGTCCAAGAGTATAACCACAAAGTTAATAGCACCAAGTTTTTTAGAGATTTTTTATCCTTTATTAGTGTTTTGAACAAGATATGGTCCAAGTGGACAAAAGAGAAATGACATAAACATAAACAAAGATATGATATGAAATGATAAAATGGAAGCATAAAAGTAAGAAATAAGGAGTAAGAAGAGAATATAAACAAAATTAAACAAGGATAATGTTAGTGAATTAGTGGTTAGTGGTTAGAACATATGATCAATGATGATTAATTCTTGCACTTAGACCAAGATTAATGAAAATTCATTAGAGGATTGATAGAATCAAAGCCTCCTAACAATGATTTTCATAGGTATTGGAGTTAAGACAAGTAACTAAACATACTTGGACTTTTAAACGTAAGTTTGAGCCACGAATGATCATTTTCCGATTAAGGGACACTTTAGCGCTATGTTAAGCAATCGTAATCGGGTTTATGTAGAAACCACGACTATCTGAGGCCGGTCAATAAAATGTTAGTGTTAATACATGTTAGAGAAATGATATATAAATCACTCTCCTAAAACATGCCACACAAAAAGAAAAGAGGTGGTGATCTCATCATAATCAAGATTTTTCATCAATTAATCAAAGGTAATCTATCACTATTCCAAAGTAAGGAGAATTATCTCAATGATTATTCGTCCATAGTTTTGAAATAATGAAGATTAATCAACCTTGATAATCAACAATCTATGATCCATAGATTTCATCGATCAAAAGAAAAATAAGAAGAAGAAGAACTAAAATGAAAAGAAACCACAATTTGGATCTTAAATCGATTAAATCATCATCAATATCAATCACCTCTTTTGGTGGATAAAATCGACACCCAAGGTCCATTGATATTGATGAGATCTTATCAAAAATTTAAAATCCAAAACAACCAACAATCGATCCAAATTAAAATGTTTTCAAATAATTTTTCAATGCTTTTTAAAAAAAAAAAAAGAATATTATTATTATTATTATTATTTAAAACAAAAATAAACTAATAACATAACAAAAAAGGCCACGCGGCCAAATTTCTTAAAAGAGAAATATATATATATATAAAAAAAGAAAAGAACAGAACGTAAATGACATAATACTTGAAAAGGATAAACAGAAATATCTTCTTCTCACACGAAACACTTCACGGCCATGGATGCTTGCTTAAATCACAACGGCGGGACGCGAAAAATACGCGGTTGCAATCGAAATCGAGAGCTCTTCACAATGGTACCAACAATTCAAAGAAACACAACAAAAAGTAACGGATCGAAACTGACGGTGAAGCTCAATCTACCTTCAAACTCAGGTGAATAATGAAATCGAAACTCTCTTCTTCCTTCTTCTTCTTCTGGACTGCGAAAATTCTGATTGTTGTATTGAAGAAGTTGAAGTATGGTGAGTTTTTATGTGGAAAGGTTGTGAATGAAAAGAGAGTTGAATCTGATGAAAATTGAAGAACGGCTGAAGGTGATTTTTGAAAGTGAAATTTGAAGGAAAATTAAGGAGTTATGATGAAAATTCTGCAGGGATTAATTGGCTTGAAAAGCTTGAAGAAAAGAGTAAATAAGGCTCTCTATTTATAGGATTTGAGGAGTGAAATCTGAGAAATGAAGTTGAGTTGCCGTTTTTCAATTTTCATTGCGTTTTGGTTATTTGATGTGGGTTGTGCGTGAACTGTTACTTTTTTCATGTCGTTTTGGACTTTTTCTTCTTTCAGCTCACTTAAGTGACGTGGAAGGCTTGTGGGGTCAGCTTGGAGTGTAACATGACTGAGATTATATTCACATGGCTTGCAATATGGCTTGGATAAGTGAAAATAGTTTGGATAAAAACAAAGCTCTGCTACCACAGAATTCTATTTTCTGCCGCTTCTTGATGTCGCCATTAAAACCAAGATGCGGCATTCCTACGTCTTTCACAAACAAGCCGAGCTGAGCCGAGAACAGACTTACCAACTTCATTTATCTAACACTGATGTGTTCCTTTGAACACCAATAAATTATGTATAACTCTTTCAAATCCACCATTATAACAAATTGATGTGTCCTGCTGCATAAACCAACAAGAAGGAGTGTGATACTCGTGCTGAAGAGAGCTTATAATCGACACTGTATCATTAAACCTCAGAATGCTCTAAATTACATGCTATGCAATGCATTTCTTCCCGTCTCTTGAAGAGAAAACAAGATGATTTCTATTAATTTTATGCTCCCAATTTGATGGCTGCGTCAATTGTATCAATAGAGTTATTTTGTTGTCCCCAAAGCTGCGCATATCTTCCTGCATTTTCTAAGAGCATTTCATGTGGTCCATGCTCAACCACCTTTCCATTTTCCAAAACAATAATCTCAACACACTGCATTGCAGTGGTGAGCCTGTGTGCAATGAATATGGAAGTTCGATTCTTTGATACTGACTTCAATGCACTGTTATCGACAAAGTTGTCATAGCACCAAGATGCATCCTCATTGTTTTGCTCATCTTTCATCTTCGTTTCAATGAACCGCAAAAGAAGTTGAAGCCACTGATGTGTTCAAATCCTCCATGCAGACAGGAGTAGGACAGTAAATATTAGTACTGCAATCTTGGTCTGTGGCCACTTTAACTGCTTCTGTCTTGAGTTTTTCGACAGTGTCTCCATTTTGCATTTTCAGGGCTTTGAGAAATATCATAATATCGTAAGGCAGCCTCCAAGAACTTCCTCTTCAGATCTAAGATCCTTGCATAGCAAACCTTGTACTCCAAATTCAGCACTTCATGCTGGCTATTGCTAACCAAGAATGATGCTTTATTAATGAAAGCTTCAGCATTGACAACATCGTCATCCTCAAGATATAAACAGGCAATTTGGACACACTTTGATAACCTGAACGTATCATCAATTACCCTCATTCCTGAATCTAGGTTAATACCACTGAGCATCTGAGCAGCTTTTGACCATTGCTCCTCAGATTCATAAAGTTCATCCAATTTCTCTCTAATAACCAAAACCTGTTCTTCAAACGACACAACTCGAGGCTGAATCTGGGTAAGTATGAAATGAGCAATCTCTTTCTGCGTTTCCGGCGTCAATCTTCCCAACTCTTCAGCAAAACTCTGCAGAAGCTGCCGTGACACTACTAGAGGAACATCATCTGATAAAATGTGATCTATGAACTTTCTAGCTTGACCGATATCATTTGATGAAATCACAACAGAAAGAATATGCTTATACTGCTCTATCTTTTGCCTTTGGTCTGTAATCGCAGAAGCGCTCGCAAATGCATTCTCCATCACTAACGTTGTTGTTTTGTGAATTCTCAGTCTTTGGAGTGTAAAATAGAATCACAATGCGGAACTAATGTGATGAATGTAGAATTTCACAGCAATTTTATTGAATTTCACCCACGATCCCTCAAAAATCTCTCTAGCCATTTCCTGCTTTCCTGTGATCTAGAAGTTTTTGTATTATAGCAGCTAATGACAGCAACCCTTCAATGTTATCAATCCCACACTTGTCATTGGCAGATGCTGAAGAGGGACAAAATCACAAAGTTAAGATCCCAATGGTTTTTGCATTAGACCCTTAAAAGCTTCTGCTTCAATTAACATATCCGCACCGTTGTGAATTTAAACCATCCCAATCACAGTCTGAGCCTTCACCCTCAGTAGATTCATTTATAAAAGGAGGATGGGCTCCAATTGTTCTATCACCAGAAATTCCATATTTGATATTTAGTATGCTTTCTGGTTGCTTCATGTCTTCTTCTGTGCTTGTCTTGTCTAGGAAGATACTAAACAAAATTCCTGCTTTGGAAGCGGGAGATATGATTAGTGGGAAGAAACTTGAAGTAGGTCTACCCTCAGTTTGTCCAAAATGAACAAATCTGTTTTGAAGATCAAGCCAAGCATCGTATATGGTCAATGTAGCCTTTATTTCAGAGTGAAGTATTACCTGCAGAAGCAAGGTACCATCATTGCATTTATCAGTAACATGTGTCCTCACATAGAGAGGATGTGTAAAATGCACAGCTAGGGTCCTTTCAAATATCTGATTGTGAAATGCTCCAAATTCAAGTTTCAAAGCTATTGTTCTCATTCCATCTACAATACTCTCTCTCCTTGTTGTGACTGAAGATGATCCTCTGTTAAGTGTGTCACTGATGGCACGAATTAGAACCCAGAGTATAGAAGGAGTGCCACTTGCCCAATTCGGAAACACTATTTTACCGTCATGAAGAGTTGATCGTTCAAACTTTTTCTCAGAATTCAAAGATTCTATCTGAGCACCATCTTTCTGCACCTCAGACTCACCAATGTCTGATACACCAGCATAGCTTTCCATCTCAACTATGTTTGTCTCTTCAATCTCCAATCCTGGACCAGTATCAATATGCAAGACAGCAGCCTTGAGGGAGTAATTTAACGGCCGAACTAAAATACCAACCCATTGATGTTCATTTATTAACAAAGAAGATGAAACAGCAGTATCAAGATCCACAAGTGCTCTAGGTTTGGAAACCTTCACAATAGGTTTAGCTGGCTTTTCATAACTCATAACATCATCACTCTCTGCAGGACCAAGTTTTGAAACACCATGAGATCTAAACCTCAACTGCCCAATCTGCCCAGTAAGAACTATGAAGGTTTCTAGACATTTTATCTGATCTAAAACTCTGGTATACCACTCGACCGTGACGAATATTCAGACACCAACTTTAGAAACATGGATGACTTATCCTTCAATAGTCGTAAAGGAGTGTCAAATTCAGCAACTCGACCATCATTGAGCACTAGAACTTGATCGCTGTCGATGACAGTAGGGATACGATGTGCAATGGTGAGGACGGTGCAGGCTTTGAACTCTGTTCGAATAATCTTCTGGATAAGATTGTCAGTGGCAGTGTCGACGGATGCTGTCGCTTCATCAAGTACAAGTATTTTTGACTGCTTCAATAGAGCTCGGCCAAGAGAAACAAGTTGCCGTTGTCCTACACTCCAATTGTCTCCATTTTCTATAACTGGTGAATCAAGCTTTTGTCCCTTCTCACGGATGATCTCTCCAAGACCATGCAGAATCTCCTGCTTCACCTTTGACACCTTCACCGACACAGCAAAGCCCGTATTCAGCAAGCATGTCATGTGTTGCAACAATTAAATCAACTTGAGTTTCGATAGGTGTGGTCCGGCTATGATGCTGAAGTTTGCAGAAAATAATGGCTGCATCAACAAAACAGTTGCTTTCCACTTGATCAGATATCACTTGTGCAGAGGTTTTGTTGCACACGAGTACATTTGCGATATATCCCATGATTAACAGCAGCAGAGATTGCATTCTTGGGTGGAACAATCAATCTTTCACTTTCTTGTCTTACTTTATTCAACTTAATACCACTCACTGACTTCTCACTTCCATCACGTGGCGATGAACTCACAGACCCAACCGATGAACCCAAGCATATAGCTTCCTCCATAGTTGTCCATGCACGACGTCTGATGTACTCCAGCTCTTCTGCCACTTCCATCATTGTTGGCCTTGTGTCACTATGAAAAGCAAGACATCTAAATGCAAGCTCAGCCACCTTATGAATGGAATATAGAGTCCAAGCATCTCTATTTGGTTCAATGAAGGGATCTACAATCTCATCTATGGAACCCCTCCTAATTCTATCAACAGCAAGTGCAGCTAAATTAATCTCACTCTGAGGTCTACCAAAATCAACCACTTTCATGGCAGTTATAATCTCTACCAAAACCACTCCAAAGCTGTACACGTCACTTTTATCAGAAAGGTGGAAGTTCTGGTGGTATTGAGGATCCACATAACCCGGAGTCCCTTGTGGAGCAGTTGAAATATGTGATGTCTCTATCATACCAAGCCTAGAAAGCCCAAAATCAGCTACTTTAGATTTGTAGTTATAATCCAGTAGTATATTACTGGATTTTATGCCTCTGTGGTAAATTGGTGGATGAATTGCAGAATGGAGATAAGCTATAGCATTAGCAGTTTCAGAAGCAATGGTGAGTCGTATCGTCCACGGAAGACCTTTACCTCTCTCTCTTTGCAAATGCTGAGACACTGTTCCATTTGGCATATATTCATAAACAAGTATCTGCTCTCCCTCTTCAATGCAGCAACCTAGGAGGCGAACCAAATTAGGGTGACTCACCGAAGAAAGGAGCTTGATCTCATTCATTACTTGATCAACACTGTTAGTGTCTCTATGTCTTATCTTCTTGATTGCAACAAACTCATCATTGTGAAGTTTTCCAGCATAGACAGTGCCGAAAGCCCCGGTTCCTAGTGTCTGTTTATCGGAGAAAGAATTTGTGGCCTTTTCTATATCTTTGTAAGTGTAGAGAGGCACAATAGAGTTCCCTGCAGCTTCACGTAGTAGGCGCTTTACTCTCGTATGCTTTATCAACCAAGTAAAACGACGCCTAGCACAGTAGCATAGAAGCACGAGGGCAGCCACGATCACAACTCCGGTTATAATCACTCCAACAGCAACACCGATTTTGGTTGCACTCCCACATCCTCCGGATGTTAGTGTTGAAGCACTGCATCTTGGAGCTCTCCGGCAACCGGTGCCTTTGGCAAATCCATCTCCCCGGAAACCATCCAAACACTGACACCGAAATCCAAAATCATTTCCTTGTAGACGCACCTTCGAACAAGTAGCATTGTTAGAACAATCACAAGAACCTTGAATCCACCACCCTAATTCAACAGCTTGAAACTGCAACAAAATCCCTTTATTCTGTTCAACAGAAACAGTTGAGAACAAATAGCTACACTTAGTTTTATTCAATTCCTCATAACTCAAAACATCAACCTCTACTTTATGTTCATTAAAACAACTTATATTACTACTTTTACTATCACAGCTTTCAACTTCAATCTGATTTCCAACAAAACTCGAAGCCGGAATCACACATCCACCAAGCGGAGCAGAACAACCTTGAACAAACACATTTCTTGAGAAAATAGTTCACTATCACTGGTAACTCATAATTGAAGCAGACTCTTGATGGTTTGACCAAGATGAGGTCAAACGTCCATCTGATTTAAACTTGAATGAATGTCTTTGCTATTAGTCTCCTTGTAAAACCCTAAACACACAGAGAAAAAGAAGAAACAAACAAATTGAAAAAATATTTTTGATATTTTGGTTAGATGTTAGTAAACAGAAACAAACATAAATAAAGTAAAAAAACAACAAGGGACCTGAGAGAATCAAGAAGTATGGTCTTGTTTGTGATATGCAAATGAAATGTGGGATCTTAGGGGTAAAAATTAGGGTATTACACCAGCCACCGACTTTACAAGCATCTCTGCAAACGATAACGAAGTTCAGATGCTGCACTGGGTAATACGATTGGAAAAGAGGTCGTTGAAAGGGCTTACAAAAAGAAACTTACACTTGATGCTAAGACAAAATGTACCGAAGACGCAATCGAATTCAAGAGGGATGACGCTGCTTCCATAGACTCAAAACATTTGCACTATGGTGAATACCCAGTGAAGTCATGGCAGCCAACCATAGGGAATACCTACTTCCATTTAGTTCACCAAACAGAGCTGTCACAGCAGGATATCACCAGCCTCTCCCCGCATCAAGCCGTGGATTCAGTTATTGCTACAACTAATAATAACCCTGTTTCATAAGTGATGAATGTATAGGCAGTATTAGTAAGTGTGTAGCCAAACGTTAATAACTGGAAGACAAAAGCTAATCAGCCAACATTACAATTACAAGGAGTTCAATTCAACCTATACAAATTTTTGAGTTCGTGAAGACTTATAGTTGACGCTCTGTCGCACGTACCGCCTCCAACTCTGTCTTGCCTAAATTCCCGCTCAGTTTCGACCTGCATAGCATTGGTAACGTCATATTAGTAGAGGTTCATGGATAATTGCTCGGTGCAGCACGCAAAGCAATTTGTCTAATGCACCCATAACCTTGACATTGGCCTACATTATTCCCGAAGTGATGTTCTCAAAGGAAACAGATGAGTATCGGTCCCAAGAAGTCTTACCAGTTACTAGCGCATGGCAGCCAAGAATGTCGAAGTAAAGTGACACTTGTTGAAAAAACTCATGGTTGTGTTGAAGCTCATACCAGCACGACTTCTCAGGGTGCCGGTCAGGCCGCTGTCAACAACCTGCAAACCAAACAGGACCAGTTCAAAACGCAAAAATTAAGTCCTCAAGCTTGACGGGAAATCTAGCATCCCACGCGATATGCTTACGTTAGAAACGGCCCATAAGTCAAGGCGCAGAGGTTCCCTCT